TAAAACTCTTTGCGTTATAGATTGTCGCGTTATGTAGTCACCTCGGAGTTATTAATTTTGTGTAGTAGTTTTTTTTTTGTTATTTGTTATTTAAATTAGTTATAAGTATTTGTCATTAAAGTACAGTGGTTACTAAAATTGATAACTATCACCAATTGCTGGATTACGTCTGCAGGTGTTCTTTTTGGGCCACCGATCATATGTAAGAGATACCATGTGGAAGAACTATCGTATAGTCCAGGGGGCAGCGACATTCTTTGTGCACTCATTTCTACAACGCTGATATTCTGCCATTTCATTGTTTTGATAGTACAAGTAAACAAAACGGTAGTCTACCGCGTCGGCGGTGTTGCCTAAATTTGCAACAATGTTCTGAACATGTTAATAAATAATATGTACATGCCTCATTTCTACAAGAATGAAAGTTTGTACAGTAATTAGGTAAGTATACCTAAAAATGAAGTATGGTAATAGTCTACCGATCCGGAAGCGTTGCCATCACAAGTCTACCACCCACGCAAGATGCATAAAAAATGATGCAATTGAACTTATTTCTACAAAGATGAAATTTTTGTTGGAAAAAGTTGATGTCATAAGAAACAAAACAAAATTGGTCTACCGATCGCGTGAGGTTGCTAAGGTCTCGGTAGACACGCTGGAAGGTACAATTTTCCGAGCGCAGCTGCTGCGCTGCTCTGCTAATAGTACCTCTAAATTATTATATACAGGGGCATAAAATAAAAATATTTCAAAAACGAACATAGGCAATTAACAGGGGAAGAAGGTTTTTTGCAGATCGTTGCTCGTTGGTCTTAGCGGGTTTATAATGACACAATCGAAAGAAGATTTTTTTTCTTTATCTAATGATATACGAATTAGTTCATTTTCAGTTGTATTTCTCATTATTAACGATCCTCGAGATTGTTTATAATTTTGTATTGCTGTCTGTCTGTCCGTCTGTCTGCTCGTCTGACCGTGTGCACGATAACTCATAACCGAATAACGTTGTATAGAAAAGTCCGATCCGGTCCGATCGCTTTGAAAATTGAAACAGCTGTTCTTAAGGATATAAGAAAGGTCCCTATTGTTTTTCAGCTACGTAGACTAACGGGGCAAAAAATTACAGCCCAAAAACTGCTCAAACCTCCAAAAAAGGGATTCTTTTATAATTCTTGTTACAAAGAACATGTGAATGCCCGGTTTTCTGTGTTAGTAAATGTCCCTTAAGCCCCAGGTAACTATGCAGATGAATAAAAAACAATTGCGCATGCGCAATCCAACTTTTGTATTTGCGCAATCCCAATTTTCTTTATTTGTTAAGATATTTAATTGAAATTTAATATGTAGGCACCTCGAGTAGAAGTAGAACTAACGGCGAATCAAAAAATTGTTTTGCTCATGCGCAATCTTGTGTTTTTTGTTAAGATTTTTAAGCGAAATTTTGTATCCAGGCACCTCGAATAAAAGTAAAACTAACTCCGTTTCAAACAATTTGTTTTACAAGCTATTCCGATCTAGTGGGACAGAATCAACCCCTTAAGGCGCGTTGTAAAAATGTTGGGTGCGTGAAGATCTCGAGGATCGTTCGGTATCGGATTTTTTTTATCAAAAATGCGGTATTCGTTATTCAATTCGAAATGAATATCAGTTTATGTCAACTGTCAATAATTTTTTTTGTAAAATTTATTCACTGAGGAAAAAGGGTTTATAATAAACCACGGCGTAAATAGTTACTGTACGCGATATTTGTTTTCCATGCATTTTAATGAGCGTCCCACTCCGTCTGTGTCAATTCTTTAGAAAATTTTCATGGCTTAACATGACTTTGGTAATTAAAGTTATTGCCGAATTTTTGATAAAATAATGAAAACTAAAAACATTAGTTACTTTCAATTTCCTATCAAAAACAATCCTCGATTGACGGCATGGAAAATAAATGGTGAGAATTCTGTTATTGCCAGGCTAGACGATGAAGAATTAAAATATAAAATCATTTGTGAAAATCACTTTAGTTCATGTGATATTACAAAAGCGGCAAGTTATTGAGAATCAATTCAATTCCTTTGCCTTACTCAGAACAAGGTAACCATGTTATTTTTTGTCGTTAAAATGATTCAAGATTTAAATTACAAAGAAGATGGCCCTTCTACCTTACTGCAATCAAACGTTTAAAGAAATGAGAAGTATATTCCACCCCATTCAAACATTTTTTGCGAAAACTCCAATTCAACCACAAATTCGACTATGTATAAGAAATTTTGAAAATGCCATCACTACAAAAATTACCTAGAAATAATATTACTCGTACATACAAGTTGAAAACTTTGAGCAAAAACCTAAATACGAAAAACGTTCAAATTCATAGACTGAAAACAAAAACATCTCGCTTCTCAACAGGTTAGGCAATTAAATTTTGTGCATAGTTATCAAATTACCGGGCTTTTTTTGTCAAAAAATCGTATGGAAACTTGGTACTTTTGTTCACGATTTTCTATGAACAGTAGCATTAAATTTTGACACAAAATAGCGAATGTTAATGATATTATTCAGTTATGAGTTATCGTGCACACGGACAGACGAACAGACAGACGGAGAGACAGACAGCAATACAAAATTATAAACAATCTCGAAGATCGTTAATAATGAGAAATACAACTGAAAATGAACTAATTCGTATATCATTAGATAAAGAAAAAAAATCTTCTTTCGATTGGTGTCATTATAAACCCGCTAAGACCTAAATTATCATGGGGAGCCACGATCTGCAAAAAACCTTTTTCCCATGTTAATTGCCTATGTTCGTTTTTGAAATATTTTTATTTTATGCCCGTGTATATAATAATTTAGAGGTACTTTTAGCAGAGCCGTGCAGCAGCTGCGCTCGGAAAATCGTACCTTCCAGCGTGTCTACCGAGGCCTTAGCAACATCACGCGATCGGTAGACCATTTTTTTTTGGTTTCTTTGACATCAACTTTTTCCAACAAAAATTTCATCTTTGTAGAAATAAGTTCAATCGAATAATTTTTTATGCATCTTGCGTGGGTGGTAGACCCATGACAGACATTTTTTTTTGTTATGTAACTTACAAATTTTAAATTTCGTCTATTTTGTACAAATTGTTTGTTTGTAGATCGCAATAGATTTTCTAAAATCTATCCGGGATGACGAAGGGCTATAAAAAAATCCTCTTATTGTTTTTATATGGCATTTACAAAGATAGGAATATGTTCACATACCGACCAAATTTTTTATGCGGCAGTATATAAGATACCTACCTGAAATTCATTAATTTATGTATTGGAATCGCCTAATAAGATTACATGTGAATCGTTGCCATACTCTGATAACATTGACGCTGGTTGCATGGAAATAATTAGGTTCAAATGAATGAAAACTGTTACAGAGACTAGGAACGGATACTCGTAGATTTAAAATGAAAAACATATTTTAATCTAGTATTGGTAAGCTACCTTATAATCATTATTGATTGACCATTAAATGTATAAATGAGAAATTGTATTAACCACACGCCCACATGCGACTTCTGTCGCCTTTGAAGCATAAATTCACTTAATTCTGGTCGCAAACGTACTAATAAATCTTAGTTATAAAAAGTTAAATACACATATGGCGACTGTTCAATTTAGCCAGATTTCTATCTGGCAAATTTATTTCCTTCCTATTGTTTCCTTAACATTACGCATTGCTAAATAACCTAAATTTAAATATGGCAACGATATGTAACAATAAACAGACAAAGAAACATCAAATTTGGAACGCCACCCGCTTGGATGCTGAAATCGCGTAAAGGATTTGACAAACAGACAACGGTGTTCGTATGGTATGCCCGGTATCGTTGTGTTGCAAAGACATAGGTATACCTCCCAGAGAATCAATGAATGCGCTCGCAGATGTAATAACGTTATTAAGTGAGGATAATTGCAGACACTATAGAACTACTTTTCCTTAATTATTTGATGAATTCTCCAACTATTTTTATATTCTTTACTCATGCGTTTGTATACGTTTCATATCGTAAACGTAGCTAAAAGTGTCAAGAAGAAGAGGACCTAAAATAGTGTAGGTATACCTTTTATACAACTTGCTTACCATTTTTCCCAAGCCGAAATCTTTACCTATATTAAATTACACTATATACAGAGGGATTCTTCTAAGAGAATATAGAAATACAATTCCCCTATGCAATGTAACCTTTTAAATGCACCACATCAAAGGAATAGAGATTTTAGGTAGGTAATTCAAATAGTACCTACTTGTTGACAAATATTAAAATTTAGTACTTGTTTTTATTATAGTTCTGGAATTAAGCGTGAGCACATATTATCCACTACACGTAAATGCGTATTTTTTCGATTTTGTACTAACGTTACCCCTTGTGTTACTTGGGGGAGTTTGGTCCTGACTTTTTATGTTATATATTTAATGTTATACAGTCCAGTTTGGGGGCCACTGTAAAACTGTCAAAACAGTCTTAAGGCGCCTTAAGAGTCGTGAGATACGACGTGATTGTCTAAGATTACAGGAAAATGTCTGTTTATGTCGCACTAGCTATCTAGTTTTTGCGCTATAATTGAGTGTGGGATGCTGCTGAATAGACGGAATTATCCAAATTCCTAAAAATTACCGATTAGTTATTGACGTGGATAATATTCTCTTACAGTAACAAATTAATCTCCCCTTAAAAAATGCCGCTTCCTTTAGAAATGTGGAAACAGATCGCTTCGATGGCACAGTTAACTTTTTGCACCACTCTGTTGGTTGAGAGTGATGAATGAAAGGTTTAGTGGACGAAAGGTGCTCAGGAATCACGAATCCAAGCAAACCGGCTTCAATTTCACGATAGTTGTTATGTACCAACGTGGTGTAGTATTATTACGTATTTGTTCCATATATATAAGAGAAGATTTATTCACACATTGCACGTCCATTTTACATTTTGACATATCAACTACTGCCTAATACAGTGTTGCCAAATACAATACATGACACCCCTCCCCTATCAGAATAATGATGTAATTAATAACTATGAATTATAATTACACGTAGTCCTTCAGGTACAAAGGTGCTCGTTTCTGTCGTGTCGATTGTCGTGATGTCTGCTCACTGTTGTGTGGTTCGTCGTGTGGTTCATGATCAATTGTTGTAGGTTCTTCAGTCGAGTTAGTTGGTGCTAAAGTATCGCCAACCTCTGACAATTCACAGGGCTTGACTGCAGTTTCCGTTTCTTCCTCTCCTTTTCGAAGTTGGTCAATATGCCGGCGCTGTAATTCGCCTTCACTGTTGGTCGTCTCGTAAGATACTGGGCCTGTCGCTCTTACGACTGTTGCAGGAACCCATTTTGATGGACCGCTGTAACTCCTACTATACACTGGGTCACCCGACAGCAACACCCTAGTAGTTCCAGTTTCCTCATCTTGCTTTCTGACCGAAGCAAAATCAGGATGGATCTGATCCAAGTGTGTTCGTAGACGCCTTTTCATCAGCATTTCTGCGGGGCTGGTTTTTGTTGTGGTTGATGGAGTTGTGTGTTGTCCCAAAAGGTACCTGGCCAACTTGATTTCCCAGTCTCCCTCCCCCATCTTGGAAAGATTTCGTTTAACCTCCTGTACCATCCGTTCGGCTTGGCCATTGGATGAAGGATGATAAGGTGCGATTCGTGCATGTCGAATTCCATTTTTCGACAAGAACTCCGTAAACTCTGTTGATGTAAAAGATGTCGCGTTGTCGCTTACGATGACCTTTGGTAGTCCATGGACTGAAACTGTTGCTTTCGAAGAAGTTGATGGCACTCTTCGAACTTCCAGCCATTTGGAATGGGAATCCACCACTATCAAGAAAATGGCCCCATGAAACGGTCCAGCATGGTCAATATGTAAACGTTCCCAAGGGGTTGACGTCCATTCCCATGGATGTAACTGCGCCTTCGGTGGGTTTCTTTGATGAGATTGGCAGACATTGCAATTCTTGACTGTAGCTTCTATTTCGGAATCCATATTGGGCCACCACATATAGCTGCGTGCCAAAGATTTCATACGAACTATTCCTGGATGAGTGGTATGTAGCATGGCCAACGCTTGACTTCTGGCAGCTACAGGGATGATGACTCTACTTCCCCAAAGTAAACAATTTTTGTATGAGGACAATTCATTACGTTTGGAGTAATATACTGAAAGTTCTTTAGGAACTGATGTAGGCCAACCTTTCTTTATATATTCGTAAATTCTTGACAATAACAAATCCCTAGAAGTCATCTTAGCAATAACTGACGCGTCAACACATTTTTCGGGCATTAATTCTGTCATTAAAATATTAGGAACGACAGTTTCAATATTGTCGTCATCTTGAGAAATTAAATGCAAACGACTGAGAGCATCAGCATGTGATATATCCCTACCTGGTTTATAACGTAATTTGTAATTATAATTAGACAAAAAGAGAGACCATCGTACAAGTCTAGGTGAAATTAATTCTGGTGTAGGTTGATTTTCACCCAGTATGCCCAAAAGGGGCTTATGGTCAGTGTAAATAACAAATTCACGACCGTACAAATAATTATGAAATTTTTTGACGTTCAGAATTATAGCCAGACCCTCTTTGTCTAACTGAGAATATCTTCTCTCAGTTTGGTTAAATGCTTTCGAATGGTACGCCACTGGGGTTTCCATATCATCCCCATGTGAATGGCTAAGGACACCCCCCGCCGCAAAAGGAGATGCGTCGCACGTTAAAGTTAAAGGTGCGTTATTGTCATAATGAGTATGTAAAGAGTCTGAAGTTAAAAGTTCTTTAACTTGAACAAACGCGTTATTTTCACGAACCCCCCATGTCCACGTTGTGTCTTTTTCAAGTAACCGATGTAGCGGCTCTGCTACCATAGCCTTGTTTTTCAAAACACATGATAGAAATTAAGTAGCCCTAAAAATACCTGCAAGTCTCGCTTATTGGCTGGAGGAAGCGCAGACTTAATTGCCTGTACTTTTCCTGGATCGGGTCGAATGCCATTGCCATCTACGACAAAACCAAGAAAATTAATTTTATCTGTACAAAATACACATTTGTCCTTCCGTATTTTTAGACCGGCAATAGAAAATCGTAATAGAACACTATCTAATCGCGAACCGAGTTCGGAAACTGTAGACCCATAAATTAGAATGTCATCATAGTACGGACAGACACCTTGTATTCCACCGAGGGTATTGTTTATATTTGTGGCGCAACAGTCAAACCGAATTGCAGACGATTCACTTTGAAACACCCCTTGTGAGTGATAATAGTTTGTAGTTCCGCGGACTCGGGGTCGACAGGCAACTGTTGAAACGCTTGAGCCATATCAAGCTTGGCAAAATATTTAGCACTCTGTAGATTGCTTAGTATTTCATTTACAGATGGAACTGGATATGTGTAGGACAGTAATGCTTTATTTAGCGTGCACTTGTAATCACCACAAATACGTAACTCACCCGAAGATTTTACGACGCACACGATTGGTGTAGTCCAACGTGAAAATTGTATAGGCTCCAATATTCCCTGCTTACACAGTTTATCGAGCTCTGCCTCCACCTTCGGACGTAATGCAAATGGTACATTCCTCGCCTTCAATGATATAGGTGTGAATTTTTTGTTTATGTTAAGTTTTACTGGCGCTCCTTTAAACCTGCCAAGCGTAGGAGAAAACAGATCAGCGAATCGGTTCACAACTGCTACAACATTATCATTGACATGATGTATTCCTTGTAATGTTATGCCTAGCCTATCAAACCAATTCCGACCTAACAAGTTGGCAGCAGTCCCGTAGGTAACCACCAATGGTAAAATTGCGCTGTTATTCTTCAGCCTTACAGATACGTCGCAGATACCAGCAGTATGGATTACGTTTCGTTGAAAATCCCGAAACATTTTATTACACTCTTGGAGTTTTGGTCTGCTTTCAGGCCACAATCGTTTGAAGGTCGCATATGACATTATTGTATTGCTTGCACCGGAATCTATTTCCATTGGACACTTTTGACCGTTGATCTCCACTTCAACCAAATATGCTTGCGCAGACTTTTCCGATTGGCATTGGAAAATGTGTTCCTCAAAGTGGTCCACCGTAACATTGGGTGAAGCTGAAGGGTCGTCGACGTAGTTACTAGCTTGGACTTGATTTGTTGTACCGCCTCGTTTTTTCTTTAAACACACTCGCTCCAAATGCCCTTTCTTGTGACAAAAGTTACATGTTGAATTTGTGTACTTACATGTATTTGCATTGTGTGATCCATCACCACAACGGTAGCAACGCATTTCCCCTTTGACCGTATTTGGTACCTTAGAGGTTGTAGTGCGTATCTTGAATTTGGAGCTTCCCGCAGCGGTCGCAGCTGCTTTATTAACGGAGTTGTCTGTGGCTGTTGTACAGCTCCGTAGCTCCACAACATTTTTTGCAGTCATCTCCGCTGCAACTGCATGATTCAAAGCGGTCTTCAATGTCAAGTCAGCTTGTGACAGCAAGAATTTTTGTAATATGACGTCTCGCACCCCACACACCAACCTGTCTCGTAGCATGGTATCCAGCTGATCTGCGAAGTTGCACGTTTCCGCGATTTTTCGTAATATGCTGCTACGTACATAGCAACATCCTCCCCTTCGAGTTGATCCCTTTTATGGAAAATGTAGCGTTGCACAATTTCGGATGGTTTAGAAGGTGTAAAATGATTATTGAGTAGTTGAATGATTTCATCAAATGTTTTTTCATTAGGCTTTGATGGTGCACACAAAGAACGAATCAATTCGTAGGCAGGCGTTCCGCACGCAGATAGGAATTTCGCCCTCTTTTTTGCCGCATCCGTGATTTCATTCGCTTCAAAGTAAAATGCCAATTGCTCCTCGTAAAAGGTCCACTGCGAAGGTTTTTTTACGTCAAATTCACGTAAAGCAGCAGCCATTATGTATTTTGCGTATGCACATGTAAATGCTGTAGCACTGAGGATCCCACGCTGTAAAATCGCTGGGAAATGTAATTAATGTAGAAAAAGATACTATAGCTCTATCCTCGTCGCCAGTGTTATGTACCAACGTGGTGTAGTATTATTACGTATTTATTCCATATATATAAGAGAAGATTTATTCACACATTGCACGTCCATTTTACATTTTGACATATCAACTACTGCCTAATACAGTGTTGCCAAATACAATACATGACAATAGTAATATTCGAGATCGTGCTAATAATGCACAGGAATAAATAAGCAATGTTCCGCTCTGTTGATATTAAATTTTACCCAATTTATTAACTCGCTTTGGTTGCAAGAAAAATGCATCGATTAATTACCTTAATTCCCTACCGTACTGTCCTATTACGTCACTCAACATTGAGAAACTTGCTTTTAACCAGCCGTTACTGTTGGCGATCGAAAAAACTTCGTTGTTTTAATGTCAGTTTATTTGGTCCTGTTGCTTATTTGGAAAGCGGATCTGCGGCTTGAAAATGTTTCTTTCTGTAAATGTTACCACTCGTAAATGAACGGCCTTGTTACGAATTAGGCTAAAATTACCTTCCCAACGCAAAACCAAGCTTGCAGGTAACTCGTCACCAATATGATAAACTTAATAAATTTCCACAAAATTGAAGCGCAACAAAAGTAATACGTAACCTCTAGGGAAATCAGCTTCAAAAAATCGCAATTATGCGAAAATATTCTCACAAAAATAATACATGCTAGCCCTTTGAAAGTCTAACCTCATCTGCCGAAAAACCCCGGTCTAATTAACGTTTTATCACGAAAAATACACACATTTATCGAAAATGTATGCGTTGTTATTGCTTTTTATTTCTCCACATACTTTTGTTCACGTTCGCTATAAGCGGTATATGTGAACATTTTCTTATGTTGAACAAAATACAAAATCCAAGACAAATTTTTGAAACGACAAAGCGGCTACCTGTTACAGTGCACAAACCTTTAGAACAAGGCTGTCCCAGTTCGTTTTTCATATAAATTGTTCACGTCAACCTTACTACTTACTTACTTCTAACCACCTTCGTTAACAGTAAATCTAAATTTAGCACACTGGACTTTTGTATCAAAACGAATAAACGACGTGTAAATCTAGAAAAGCGGAAGAGGAGTGTGACCCGACAGGGTCATTGGATTTGACAATCCGCTTGTTACATGTAACATATATAGCTCAACTGTGCCAAGTTTGCCAAAATTGTTATTTATGGATCAATTTTGTTGGGAAAAAGACTCGATTGCTCGATGCTTAATCCATGTGTATTTATGACGAACAAAATATTTTTACCCAAAAGATGTCAAAATCGTTTCTTACGTACCAATTTTCTTCGGAAAAAGAACAAACTCGATTGCTTGATGACCCAAAAGTAATTTATGTGTATTTAGGGCAAGCAAAATGTTTTTGCCCAACAGATGTCAAAATCGTTATTTATCCATCAATTTTCCATGTGAATTTTTGGTGACATATTTTTGACTATAAAATGCTAAACTGATTATTTATGTACCGATTTTTTTGGTAAAAAGACCTCATATCGACTGCTGGTTTTCGCTAGATGAAAGCTTCTAGGTTCCAGATGTGCAGCTATCAAAAATTAACTTTGGCATCCATCACTTTATTACCTAAAATCTGTATAAATCCTTATCTATGCAACAATTTTCATGGAGAAAAGACCAAACCCAACTGCTTGATGCCCAAGATGTGATAAATGTGTATTTTTGGCGACCAAAATATTTTTACTAAAAAAAATTATTATTAATGCATCTATTTTCTTCAGAAAAAATTCGATTGCTCAATGCCCAAGAAGTGATCTATATGAATTTTTGCTGACCAAAATATTTTTAACCAAAATATGTCGCAATCGTTATTTGCGCAAGCTCAGACTATAAACGTATCGACTTTAAAGGTAGTCTACTCGTCTAAGTATGTGAGTGGGTTGCGGTGGCAATACTCATGTAGTAGTGGTTTTGGTTTACTTGCTTCTATTTCATTCTCATTTTCTAAATTAGAGAGGCCCACTGTAATATTTTCCGAAATAAGAAATTGTAACCGTTATTTATTCTTGATTGAAATTTTGCTTAAGTAACCTTTGATTTGTGCTCTTATTTAAATTCTTTCTCTAATCTATAGGTTTACTCTTACAGCAACTAGGTTTTAACTTCGCATTTCACTCTTCTTAAGTTTAGTATTGCGCGCAGTTATATTTCTTTTCCCTTCGGTGAAGTTTCTGCTTTCTCATTACTTACATTCAAATTTTCTCTTGGGACGCCATTACTTTTACTGATTTCATGTCTTACCTTTTACGTTGTATTTACCTGGATATTATCTACTACATACGCAGTACGTCAATGACATTGCATTTTTACTTGGACCCGTCTACTTATTAGGATTGATATTGGCGAGCGTCACGCGATAGATGAGTTTCTACATTACCGGCAGATTCACCGTCATTTCAGTGAAATTAATCATGTGATACCAACTTCGATATAGTTCCTAACCGCAAGTATTAACGAAACCCAGGTTGAGGGATTAGGACGCACTTTAGTCCTATGGAATATACGTTATTTTTTGTACTCCGGTAATCAGCTACAGCAATTTCAATGTGAAAGACCAAATTTAAAAGAACAAATTTGTTTGATTGTAGAATCAAGGTATTTGTGCGAGTCATAACTGAACCAGCCTTTAATTATTTTTAGGTTATGTACGTTGAAATGTATTGGTTCATCAGGATACTGGACTGCAAGTAAATCGCGGACTTGTCTTGCACTGTTGTGACCGTTGCATAAATTTGTAATTTTCATCTCTTTAGACAGCATTTTGAAATTTATCTACATGGTGGTAGATTTGAAGGTGACAGTTGTACATTGCACCTACTACCCATTTGAACTACTCCTATAGGTTGACACGTTTTTTTTAATGGAACAGGGAAATAACATTGCATGCAAAATCGTATGTTCCAGTTTAAGATAAACGCACTGTATATTTAAAGGTACTTAACCACTAATTATTAAGTTGCGTTTGACATTTCACGTTGTACTGTCACTTTTTGTCCTGCCTTACCTCCGGGAGGAACAATGACTCTTTAGTCCCTTACCCGAAAGACAAAACATGTTGATTTGTTCACGAAGTACAAAAAAATAGTTTCGCTTGCTCCGTAGACAGAATGATATCAAAACGCGATTACTTATTTTCTAGATCCCACATCGAAACCTTTTCATGCATAACCTTTGTCCTTTAATGAGCATTACATCAGAACGCGGCGTCTTTTGTTTTACATGTAACGGTTGCTTCTACAAATTAACGAAGGTTATAGGCAAGCGCGATTATTATGTGATTAAATGGAAATTCGCATAAATTTATTAATGACATTACCGCTAAAGAGATCTATTTATCTATTTTAGAGCGGGATCGTTTACAATATAGGTAGTAAGCTAATTTCCATATGAGGCCAGACCGGTGTGCATCGGTTGTATTTTTGCAGTCATATCTGTCCGATAATAGCGAACGCGCAATGTAAGAGACTGGACAAGGGCCTGGACAGCATTTGGTTTATTGGAGTCTCCGGTGGCGATATACAGCTCTACCTTCCAACGTCCAACTAGTATATATGGGCAATGCCACAGATAATAATGTTCTAAACTACGAGTGCACTCACTGTATACACACAGCCGACTTCTACTTGTTTACAGGATTTTAACTCACTGAAGATACCGAGACATAAAACCGCTGAAAAATTTTCGCATCGAATTCCTATCGTTGGACTTGCTTATAAATAACAATAAATATACGCTGGCTATTAATTTTTCAGAAATTTCTGCGCTTACGTTTATAATGTCTCTTTTATTTCGATTAATTAATATTAAAAGTAAAAGATATCCTTTAAAAAGAATTTTTTTAGCGCATTGCACATCTTTGAAATTAATTATTAAAGGCACGTAAATTAGCTCTTGAAATATTATTCGTCTCTAGTAAATAACGAAAACCATTGCATTTTACACATTTCCCCAAAATTTGTGCTTATTTTTGTGCTGAATATCAGAGCTCAACTTTTTACATTTACTCTTTGAGATGTAAAGTTTATGTACCAACTGTTCATTAGAATTCAACTTTGGGTGATGAATCGGGCTCGTTCTGTACGTGTTGAAAAGTGCACCATTTACCACGTGTTGTGCATCACTAATGAATATACACAAAAACGTCATATCTGCTGTGTGCTTATTTTCTACAATTTTGTGTGCCAAAAAACTATGATTCATTCCGGAAGTAATTCGTTATAACACAGTTCTTAGTTTATATTTGTCTAGGAACTATTTACAACAAAATCTGTAACATTTATGTATCCACAATACCATGCTATACCTACAAGTGTTGTATAGTTGCCCACTTCTTTGTGCACTGTAACGGTCGCTTTTATTTTGAATTTAAGTTTAAATACGTAAAAATACATCCTTTTTAATAGGTATAATTATAAAGTTAAAGATCTTAGTAAGCATGAGATAAAATCAAAGTGGATATTTTTTGGTCAGTTTGTTCTGGTAAAGGTGGGATTGATTAACAACCTTAAAAAAGTTTATGATTGGTAGTAAGAAAGACATTAACCAATAAAAAAATCAGACACCATTCTGAAGATTCGGCATTTGTGGGGATCTTCCTACTTTAAAAAAATTAGTTGGATGAAATCTCTCAGCGGAATAGGAAAGAGTGCTGATCACTTCAGTTAAAAAAAAGGAATCTAATTTTCGGTGTGAAAGATTTTAATTAATTGTTTAGTTTCTGGACGATAGGTTTGAGCAACAATGGCAGTAAAGTAAAGTAAGGTTGTATTGCAAGTTATTAACCGGAAAATTGTCGTTAACACACACAAAGGCTTAACTGTAGAGTTGCAAACCATAATAAATAAATACATTTTTCGAATACGAAAGTCAATGGC